GGAGCACTTCAAGCTGGAGCCGCTGCGGCAGTACCACCGCGTTATCCCCCTGGAGGAGTTCATGGAGAAGCTGGCACCCGTTCACTGGCCCCCCGGCAAGCGGGTGGCTTACTGCTTCGAGGCGGCGGCTCAGAGAAGCGCTGACAAAAGTACCTGTCCCATGAAGGTGGGTTCCTCCTGCGCCCCCGCGGATGCAGTTTCAAGTTGCTGCTGTTCCAAGGGGAATGGTTCAGGTCGCCACTGATTTGCACAATTAGGGGTCGCGCAGCCCAGGTCGGTCGGTGTGACCGTCCTTTCACCCCTTACCCGTGTCCTTCGCGCTCCCTCTGTCGTTTGGGGCTCAGGAGGATGGTCTGTGTGAGCAGGTTTTGTTACTGCAGACTCGATCGTGACTGTGAGGAGAGCAGCTCTGTGACAGCAAAGCTTACCGGCCTCAGCCGGTACGTGTCCGTGGTACGGTGTCCACCTGCTTTTAAAGCACGGCCGTTGCGTTGGTTCTCGGTTCCTTTCCTGTGTTTCAGTCTCCTGGGGAGCTGACCTGTGAGAAACGGGCTGTAGCATTGGGTCCACTTTCCTCCTGAACAGAAAAGCTCTTCAGCTTTGCCCCGCAGGATCTGGCTGGGTCTGTTTGTCTTTCGGGCGGTGAGTGAACGCTTGCCTTTCCTTTGCAGGATGGAAACCCATTTGGTCCCTTCTGGGACCAGTTCCAAGTGAATTTTGATAAGTCTGAGCTCTTCAAGGGAATTTCCTTCAGCCCCGCGTACAAGGAGCACTGGATCCAAAGGTAGTGGGAAGATGGAAGAGTGCTGGCGCGCTGCTGTGCCACCACTTGCAAAAGCAGCTGTGCTAGTCACAAGCCTGTGCATTTTGGGGGAGAGATTGAAGGGGCTAGTTGGCAATATAATTAAAAATCTTCATGCTTCATTCACTGAGCACACTCTTCCCGTGAGCAGTGTTAGGTGTGAGCTCGGTTAGCTGATCGACCTCTGGCCAGTGGTACTTCCTTACAGTATTTGTTGGTTACGTGTGTAATTATTCTCCACAAAGAATCCTGATCTCGGTTGCTGATCATGAGCCGTGTTTGCTGGTTACCTTGTGTTTCCAGAGCCACTTTACTCATATCACTAAGTTTGGGTTAGATTTGCTCTAGTCTGGGGCAAAACCTTCTTTCATTTCATGGCTGCGCACGCGAGAGTGTCAGCTCGTGTCTGTCAGATCGTGCCGATGCGTTTGTCGCCTGCTCTGAGGTAAAGGGCGGTGCCCGAGTTTGGCTTCAGCGTTCCCTTCGCGTGGCAAAAGGGTTGGAGTTTGGCTTGGGTGGGTCTGGGGCAACAGGAGCTGCCTCTTTCGGGGGGTTCGTGGTTTCCATTCTAACCTGCAGGCAATTCGCGCGCAGCAGAGATGACACAGCCGAGGTTATGTCGTGTTTCAGTCCGCTGGGATTTCTTCCTGTAGGTTTTCGCCATCTGAGCACCCTGTACTCGCCTTACCTGGAGCTCCAGCCCAGTTTCCAGTGTTGGAGGAGCACCGGCCCCTCCATAAGTACATGGTGTGGTCCGAGGAAATGGTGAAGAAGGGAGAAGCCTATATTCACTCCCTGCTGGTCCGGCCCTACGTCGGGATTCACCTGCGGATCGGCTCAGACTGGGTACGGTCCCCGTGTGAGGTGGTTGCTGTGAGCGGGGCTGACGCCCCGTGGGAGGAGCTGCCCGAAGAGGAGCCGTGCCGCGGGCTGGCAGCCCCGGCGGGCTGTGGGCAGCGCCCTGGGGACTCCTCTGCCAAGCAGGCTGCGACGCTGCCGGTGGAGACGGGGGACGTCGGAGAGGTTTCTCGCCCTGTTGCCGCTCAAACGTGATGTTTTCTCTTCCCTTCTCCCGACAGAAAAACGCTTGCAACATGCTCAAGGACGGCACGGCCGGGCCGCACTTCATGGCGTCGCCTCAGTGCGTGGGCTACGACCGCAGCGCCGCGGTGCCGCTCACCATGGACATGTGCCTGCCGGACCTCGGGGAGATCCAGCGCGCTCTCAGGCTCTGGGTGAAGAAGAC